TGAAGGGGGGCGGGGGACCCCTCCCCCTCTCGGCGCTGGCGGCGTGCGGCAATTAGCTCAATTGCGATTAGACATTTCAAGTCGATTCTTCACAATCAGCCTGAAAGGGACTCATTGTCACGGCGCTGCAGTTCCGCCGCGCTGCAGGGCTAATGTCGTCCGCCGCACTGTTGTCGCTACTGGAGTGAGGCTATCGTGGGGAGGGTATTGCTATACACCGGTTGGACGTCTTCCCGAAATACTTCCATTCTGTCAAAGCATCGTCGTGTAAAAGTCCAACATCAATATTACCGAAAAATATTGAAGCATGATTCTAAAAATCTAGTAATTTTTACTTGTTCATATTTTTAGCATATCGACGGTGTAAGTCGGCAATCACATAACTCGTTTGCGGTGTTTGAAAATCTCCGCCTCTAATGTTATTTTTTTAAAGGAGAAAAACCTGACATCATTCCTTGACGTTTTTGGAGAATTCCTTCGCACATAGAAGAAAAATCACGGCAATTTTGAAGAATTGCCTTTGAGTAGTTTTCCGTTTAAAAATAAAGTATGACAGGAAGTCTGCGACGTCGCAAATCGAGTTATGAGATTGCCGACTTACACCGTCGATATCATTATTGTAGCCTTTAATGCGCTTATGTTCGGTAAAACTGACCTGAGAATAGTTAGGCATAATCTGAGGGAATCTCCATATTTTCCGCTCTGCTGGTCTGTTGTTGAAACATCGGAGCATACTCTTTTTTATGGCTGCTAGAAAATTGAGAGAAATGAGAGTGAGCATAGAGAGTGACATATCTGAAACAAATAGCAAAAAAAGATAAAATTAGTGTCATGCTTTCATGTACAGTTTCACCTTGTATATTTCAAAAATAAGCCATGTTGAGAAAAAAAATAAAAAAATTAATGATTAATAATTAATTATAACGTTAGAAAACAAAGATAACTGGAATCGTATGCAAAAATTTAATAGGGACATTTTGAAAATGGAGCAAACAGTTCTAAACTCTCCGGACACTACTAACACCGAAATTATGCCCCAACGCAGTTCCGGTGTAAGTACCGAACTAGTTTTATTATCTTTGATCTTAATAGGTCCAGTACTGTCATTACAATATTTCCATGCTTTTGATTTTAAGATAAAATAGAAATACAATTTGTCAAACGCTGTAAGGTCTTTCCTTCTCAGCCGTCAAAGTGGTTTAATTTCTGTAGGTAATTCGAGGACTTCAATTTTTCAAGTTGTGATGCTGTTCATTCACAGTTCCACCTTTTAAATTTCAAAAATAAACCACGTTGACACCAAAGAAATTAAAAATAATAAGATAAAAAAATGAAATAGAAATAAATATTAACCATACTTAAGATATTTGCAACTGAGGAACATGTAAAGCTTTCGGAATTATTTTGACAGTTGCTTAAAAATAATTCCAAAATACTTACGTTATTTTAAAAATATACATAGGTGAGCCAAGTATATCTGAGGCGTTCTCGGATTGGTTCACCAGCTGAAAACTCATTGCGGGACTCTTGAAGGCCGATGAAAACGAACCCGATCCCATTTAAGATTTCTGATTCCGCACATTTTCGGCGACGGTTGTCGAAAAATATGGAAATAAGATCGGCATTGAACGGTACAATAATAGAAAAAAGGAAGAACAGCTCAAACTGTCGGCGTGAGCATGAATATTCAGAGGAAACGTAAAATTTGGCACTCAAAGTCACATGTGCGCGTTGCAGACGATAGCACCTCATTTCTAGAAACCAAACTGCAGAAAAAATTCTAAATCTGCTCCAGATTAACAAAAAAGTTCTATTAACGTAAATTTTAACAGCATGTTTCACGGAAAAGAGGGACACTTCAATTTTAACGATGCACCTGGTATTGGGCGCAGTTCATTTCCATTTCCTTTTTTACTGATGTATGTTTTTACGCTGACATGCTTTCCGCGGATGTTATTTTCAAAATTTAGGATGATTTTGAAAGTTTTTGGACTTAGAAAACTGATGAGACAAAACTTTTTTAGGGGGGCCAGAAGACCGTCTCATCCAGGGAGGGTCTTGAGGGGCATTAGATGGCATCTACCTAAGGGGACCTGTTGGACTATTCCGGCTCTAAAGGAAAATCCAAAGGGTGGTTCTAGCACCCAAGGCGAGTTTGAGGGGCCTCCTCAGGAGACTTTTGAAAAATTGAGTCGTCTTCTGACAAGGGGAGCTTCCCAAGTGTAACCGGAATTTCGAGTTGAAATTTCGCATGAAGATACTAGAGATGATTTTAGGGATGCCGTATTTTTTCGTTTTTTCGAATGGGGTCGGGAAAGCCCTCAAAAAAAGGGCTAAAGATGCGGAAAAAACGCGTGCGCCAGCGGCACAAGGTAAACATAGGTGATAGAGGCACACAATCTTTATCAGTACCGCATGGCCGAACGGTAGCGCGCTCGCTTCGCATGCGTGAGGTCCTAAGATCGGATCCTGATTACAGTGCGTAATTTTATTTTACTTTATGCTTGTTTATTTTTCACTTACTTTATTTTGCACCATTCGCTCCGCAAACCGACTTACGAGGTAGAACACGTAGTGACTGAAGATTTTTTACATATGCTGATAAAAACTCGAAGTTTCTCTTGGATTGAAACGTTATATATAATTGAAAAAACAAAACGCTCTAAAACTCACCAAATTTCGTTGCCAAGCTGAATTTCCGGAGTATCAGTCGAATCTGTATCTGTATCTGACTGATACTCCAGAAATTTAGCTTGGCAACGAAATTTGGTGAGTTTTAGAGTGTATTGTTTATTCAATTATATATAACGTTTCAATCCAAGAGAAACTTCGAGTTTTTATCAGCATATGTAAAAAATCTTCAGTCACTACGTGTTCTACCTCGTAAGTCGGTTTGCGGAGCGAATGGTGCAAAATAAAGTAAGTGAAAAATAAACAAGCATAAAGTAAAATAAAATTACGCACTGTAATCAGGATCCGATCCTAGGACCTCACGCATGCGAAGCGAGCGCGCTACCGTTCGGCCATGCGGTACTGATAAAGATTGTGTGCCTCTATCACCTATGTTTACCTTGTGCCGCTGGCGCACGCGTTTTTTCCGCATCTTTAGCCCTTTTTTTGAGGGCTTTCCCGACCCCATTCGAAAAAACGAAAAAATACGGCATCCCTTAAATCATCTCTAGTATCTTCATGCGAAATTTCAACTCGAAATTCCGGTTACACTTGGGAAGCTCCCCTTGTGAGCAATTTTGAGCTCTTCCCACCATGGCAGGATTTACCTACTTGCCGCCCATGTGCCGCCTGTATTTTGCCGTCCTCTTCTCATTCATTTTGGAGCATCAATAAAAACCATCAAGTGAACGTGCCGGAGGGAGAAGGGTGCATAAGACGCGTTCACTCGTGTTAGACACATTTTT